CTCCTTCCTCCTCCTTCTTTTTCTCCTTCCTAGTAGAGAGTTTCAAATGGGAAATAGAACATCAAAATATCAGATGAGTTGGAAAATGCCTTGCTTTGGACGACAAAAACATGCTGCGTTTGAAGTACATGTGTGTCAATGCTCAGTAAAATCCTCACCTTCCTGGTACAGCAGAGGTGGAAATGCTATGTTGGCTTGCTTGTTTTAATCTCCTGGGGGAATCCCTGTGAAGAAAACATGCGCTGTTACAGAAGCCCTGCAATGGTGCTCATTTTCCCATTAGAGGAGCCTTTTGGAGGGAGCTTTGTAGTCATGGTACCCAGCAGGGCAGAGGAAAACTTAATGGGGAAGGGACTTTGCATCTCCAGGGCCACCTGAAGCTTGGACATAGCAGCTTCTATGTAGCGTGTAGATGCATCTGCTCAGTGTCTGTGTACATCAGTAGTATCATCTATATTTTATAGAGATGGGTCATCCCTGGAGTACTATATATAGGGTATCTTCTGCTCTCCTCTTCCCAATCTGGTCTCTTCTCAGTCTCTCTAAGTCCTGAAAGCATTGTAGGCAAAATAAATTACATTCACTAAGCTAGTAACTCAGTTTGAGTTGTTCCTCTTGGGCAGCTGGCAAGAACAGTTGTGAAGAGGTTGCACTTCTCTAGGTCGGAGGTTTTTGGTGCATACTCTGTAATTCCTGAGACAAAAAGTCTTGTTGAAGGCAAACTGGAAGAAGCAAGCCTGGTAGAAGGCTTCAGTTCTGCTGAATGATGTTGCAGAAGTTTTGGAGCCAAGCTTTACATGCTTAGCTCTAATTTGCATGTTGGTTTAGTCTTGCCAAAGCTGACTTGTGTTGTCCTTTTGCTTGGAGTGAAACTGTCACCTCTGTCAGGTTCCCCATTATGAGAGGCCTGGGGGTTGAAGGTGTATGCCTGCAGACCAGACTGAAGGTGGGGGGCCCTGTATCATCCCCTGGGAATCCAGACTTCCAGGTCACTTTGCTTCTAGGCTTTGACAGTTCTCGTTGGCACCCCTTCTTGTGCATGTCTTGTGAATGCTGCTTTCTAATCCTGGAACTGAAGGTGCCCTGCTCTTCTGGGAGAAGTCTTATCTTTGCTTGCTGATGGGCTTCAGCCTCTTAAAGATAAAGCCTGCAAATCTGATCCTGCTGAAAAATTCCTGTTGACTGAATGGAATCAGCTTTACCCAGAAGAGACTTGTTTGTGGCCCTGAGGCCTGTATGCAATGCTGGAGAGAAATATCTTCATCTAATGCTATTTTTCTTTCTTTTTTTTTTTTTTAATTTTTTTTTCCTTAGAGGGGTGGGGGGTAAGGACTGAGGAGGTAAAGCTGAAGTCCAGAACTGACAGCATGAGCGGGGATTAGACCTTGCTGTTCCTCCCACCTTTTTCTCCCTGTTGGTGTTCCTCCATGCTAATTTAGACCTGTGGCAACCATCAAAGCTTTGTGCATACCTTCTGCACAAAGGGGCTTGTCTCCCACGTGAGGGCGTTCTCTGCTGGGACAGAGTCAGTTTGTCCCCCAAAAGAAAAATCTTAAGCACCCAATTGCCTGCTTGACTGACTCCCTGACTGCTATTATGTTTCTAACCACGGTAATTGGCTTTAGTAGTTATTACTGGATTATGTCTGGGGAGGGAGGGACAGAACCCAACACTTAGCTTTGTAGCTCAGGGACTCCCTGAGCAAAGTGTCGCTTTCCAGACATGGGGTTTGACTGGTGAGCTGTCAGAGTGGGTATCTTTTTCTTGTTTTCCTCTGAGATGGGAGACATTGGCAACAGGGAAATGTTCGCTCTTGTCCTGCACTACGGTGGAAAGAAGGCACGTATTGAGCAGAAACCCTGTTTCCAAACATGAACTCCTGCATGTTCTCTTGGTCTTCATGGCTGCTGCACAGCAACAGGAATTGGCTTTTCCTTAGACTTTCAGACTTTGGCCAGGGCCTTCCATGGAGAAGAATAATATGTGCACCCTGCAGCATCTGTGCAGAGCCCTGTGCTACAGGTGCATTGGGCCAATTGAATGTGCACTACCAGTGAACCTGGGAGTTTGCATGTAAGATGGCCTGGTTGCAGAGACTTTGAAATAGCTCTGGTGCTGCAGGCCTTGTCTAGCCCTAAAGGTCAGCTAAGGGTCACAGGACTTGTGGACACCAGGTATGTGAGTTTTGATAGGAGGGATAAAGCCAGCAAAAAAAAGAGAACCTTGGTAGCTGTTGCTCTTCATTGGTTTCCGTAGCTCTTTGAGATGGCTTGATGTTATCTGCTCGCCTCTTTTGCAGAGTGTATTGGCAGTGCTGCTTTGGCCTTAAGATTTGGAGAAACCAATTGCTCAGCTAAACCACAGAGCTAGGAGCAGAAGGAGTCCTGAGTTCTGGCCCTGCTTCCACGTGGCTCTTCTCTGGCTTTGATCGAATTGCGTCCGTGTTCACCACTTTGCTGCTGGGTGCCTTGTAACACCAGCAGTACTACTTCTCACAGAACTCAAGGACACTGCAAGAATCCCTTGCTGGTACAGTAGAAGCTTGGAGACACCATCTGACTTCCAAAGGAATAATGTTGTAGAGGATAAAAGAAATGTTTAAAACCTGTTATTTTTACAGATGTGACATTGTTTCCTTATTTTGCTTTCCTCTTTCAGCTGCCAGCCCCATGTCGTGCTGCAAAAGATGTTCAGGCAAAGCATAGAGCTGGCTTTTATTTAAAGCAGGCTCAGTTTCCTGCATTCATGCTATCCTTGTTGCAATGACTTAAACATAGTTTTGGCATTTTATTCTTGGTAGCTGCAATAAATGTGGTGCTTTGAGAGGTCATTTAAAGCTTGCTTAGAAATCTTTGTATGAGCTGCTTTCTCTTATTTGGACTTAGGATAGGAAGTTGGCACAAAACAAGCAGTGTGGTGTGGAGAGCCGTAGCACCCGTGTTTCTGCTGCTTGATTTTAAGGATTTGTTCCTGTCTTATCAACTAGCTTGAGGCCAGTGGCTGTCAGGTGACCTCTGGAGCCAGCATGTGCAGCAGGGACATAGCATCACCAAAGAGGACTTTGGAATGGACACTGCTGGAGAGTGCGAACTGAGCCAAATATTGCTATAGGAGAGCTGTGCTGCCTCTAATAGAGAGTGCTTGAGCACTGGGGAGGGCAGCCTGATCCAGCTTTGAAATTGGCCCTGTTTTGAGAAGGCTGGACCGGAGACTTGTATCCTGTGATTTGTTAGGCCTGTGATGCTGCAGCCAATTCATGATTGTGCTCAGAAGTTGCCAGCAAACAGAAGCAAGATGTGAAGTAGGAAGTAGCAGGGAATTTTCCATGGGGTCTTCCCGCAGCTTATAGCACTGACTGTATATGAAACATGCTGAGTACTGTGCCAACTGTTTTGAAAATGTTGTTGCAATTTACAGCTGCTCCTGTTTTAGGTTTTCCCTTTGTATGTGCAAATATATCTTTATGTCCTGCCAATTCTCTGCAGTTGTGACCTGCTGCATCTGGGAAGCTCAGCTACTGAGAGCGCTGGAGCACCTCTCTCCTTTTGCTGCTGCCTGCCCCTTGTGAAATGTGGTGGAACATGCTGAAATAGTCTTGAACCCGAATTCAGTCTGTCTTGTAGCTTGTTTTCTCTGTCTTGCTCATGCCCTGTTTCTTCAGAACATGAGAATTACTAAGTGTGGGTTTTTTTGTTTTGTTTGCTTGGTTTTTTTTAAACAGCTCATTTGTGACTGGAACGGCCTGCTGTGGACACACCTCACCTCTGAGAATCTGGGACCTTGAGAGGTGAGTGAGCTTCCAGGTTACAGGGAGGAACTTGCCAAGAAAACTGAATAACAATGAGAAATGCAATATTGGAGATGCCATAAAATAATTCCCTTAGTCCTTGTAGGCAAGGAATGTTTAAACATGAGATGTGGGATGGAGTGAGGGATGGAACAAACTGGTGTGGAAAGGTATATGTGGGGGGTGGTTCTGGTCCAGTAGGGAGCAGCTCAACTTCTCTTCCCAGCTTTTCTGGTTGATGCCACAGCCATCCTGGTTTCTTCCCATTACCCATGTACAATCAGAATATGCCCATTACACACTCCTTTTCATCTCTCAGTTGATGCCTGAGCCAAAGGGGTGAGGAGGGTGATCTGCATCCTCCCGTTCATCCACTGTCTGTGGTGCTCAGAAGCCAGAGGCAAATGAAGGCTTTACAGTCATCTTGTCCTGGCTGGTGTTTCTGGTAGCTCAGGGAGGTGAAGGGTGGCAACAGGTTATCTGCGGAAGTGACTTAGGCATGTTGTCTTCTCTCTACACTAATAAGCATCAAGGAGGTTAATTGCTGTGGCCTCTGATTTGGGGCCATTGAGTAGTTCCTGTTCAGTGAAGGTGCTGACCTTAGGAACTGGGGAAATGTTGGGCTCAAATCCTGACGTGAGACTCAACTGCTGACAAATTTGAAACTCTCAGCCTGAGGGTTTTTGCGTAGTGATGGACAGATAGCAAATATTTGGCAGGATTATTGAACGGCAGCTCAGCTTTCCAGGACTGGTATGCTCTGGGTAGGAGAGGCACAGCACAGATTATCAAGGGAGTGCTGGCAGGATTGAGGTGAGCTGGTGGGCTCTGGAAAGGGAGAGAGGGGGGCAATGGCAGAAGGGGCCTCTGAGGGGTGACAGCAGAGGTGTATTTGGGGAAAGGATGTAGAGGAGGATTGGTGTGGATACAGGGCTGGTGTGAGGCCAATTGCCTTCTAATCTATAGATAGTTTAGATTGTCTGAGTCAACTTTATCAATTACAAGTATAAACCATTTTGTTTTTCTCTTGACACAACAAAAATAAAGACTTTTCAAAGGATGCATCCCACAAAGGACAAACTAGGGCAGGAAAGGCAGCGCCAGTGCGTTCAACTACACTGTGTGTTTCTCTGCGACCTAGTCCAATGGTGCCTTTGGAGTACCCCAGAAGGATGCAGGCTGTACTGTGATACCGCTGTCCATCAAGTCTTCTGGCTGTTCTTGAATAGAGGCATCTGACAGGGGTGAGGAGATAGGCAACCCTCTCCCCCCTGCCCCAGCCTCTTTGACAGCCTTTCCCAAGGAAGCCTGAAGAGATAATAAAGCTATGTAGAAAATAGGATTAAGGTAATGAACAGGCACAACGGAGTTTGATCTTTCAATAATGTCAAAGCCTGAGTGACAGGCAAATAAAAAAGCTAAGGCAACCTAGGCCACTGGGCCTCTGTTGCAATGGCTGGAGTGTCAAACTTATTCTTCCCTCTTCACCTGTCACAGTTGGAATGCACCATGCCACTGGGTCTTTTCCTCTCCGGGGACCTGTGTGTGAGCTGGGAGTCTCATCAGCACGTGCAGGGCAGGAGACTGAGTAGGAAGCATGGCTGGAAAACTAGCACATGCAACTTGATGTGGTCATTCATAGTGAGGGAGTACAGAGCTGTCCTTCAAGGGCTTGACTTCTCCGTAAACTTCTTCCCAGTTCTTCTGGGTTCTTCCCAGCAGAGCTTTGGATTCATTTTCAAACTCCAGTGGTTGCCAGAAGCAATCTCATAGGGAAATGCTAGTTCTTCCTTTGAGGCTTGTGCATGTTGTCTCCCTGGTTAGAATCCAGAAGTGGGAGCATGGCATGGAAACTCAAAATCTTAGAGCTACCCAGGACTGAAAAACTCCCGTTGTGCCCGATGTGTCCTGATAACACCTGGCAGACAGACCCAGCCCCCCCGAGTTGCTGCTTACCCTTTCCTTGTGGCCACAAAGGGCCAGAGTCTGACCTGCAGAGGCTGAACATGGCCAGGACATTATTTCTAAGAGCAGAATCCAGACCACTTCTCTGTCAAACAAATGAGGCAGGGTAGACAGATGCTTATAGACATGTTTGTTAAAACTACAGGATCCTTAGCACCACTTAGATGTTTAGTGCTGTCCACGACCAGTTAGTTCAGTTAGCTGTTTTTTTTTCTGCATGAGGGTGTGTGTAAGTAACATTGCAGCGGTTCCTGTGGCATTCTCTTCCTTTGGGGTAGGTGGTCTTTTTTTCCCCAACAGCTGAGAGCTGGAACATGCTACAAAAGGATTTAAAGCTTAAATAACCTTTTGTGTACTGATCTTCTTAGTTCCAGGCCAGATAAGTCCTTGGCTGGTGCTTGTAGCTGTTGGTCATGGTATGTTTTCGTATTTATGACCTTCACTGTTCCCTGACCCTGGGGCAGCCATTCTCATCCCTCCAAGAGGAAGAGGATAATGTCTTCACCTGGAAATATGTTCTGGGCTTTGAAAAGGGCTTGGTTGGGTTTGGCAGCAATGAAATTTTTAGTGGGGAAAGGAAACGCCTCTTACGGCATCCCACCCCCACAACTGTCTTTCATTTCTGACTCTGCTGAGATGATGGCGTTGGATCAAAGCTGCAACAGGCAGCAACAAGCAATTGTCAAGGGGAGTCTAAAGCAGGGGAATGACCGCGTAATGCCAAGACACTGTCTCTGATGGCTGAAATTCCAGCTGCTGCTACACCTGGCCCTTTCTCCTGTAATGAAGGAGGATTTTTTTTCTCCTTATGCTTTTGAAGCTGGTTAGCTGAACCTCTGGAGGAGATATCCTGCAGATGCTACATTGTGCTACCTGATTGCTTTTAGATGTGGGGAAGTTGCTGTGCACTTCTTGCCACTCAGGATCAAGGTGTGTGTGTGTGGTGAGAGGCTGTGAATAACTTAGGTGATTAGAGGCCTGTACAGGAAAGGAGAACGATTAGCGGTATGGATACTAACCTGTGTCCTTGCGCGAGGTGTCAGCCCTTGCAAACTCCTTGGCCTCTTGCAGGTGCCCTTGCCCCTCGGTGCTGACGAGGGATATGGTGGCAGCTGCCCCTCTTGCAGATCAGGTACCTCTGCTCCCTTTTGCCTTTCTCTGCTCAGACTCTGCCAGTGCTAGCATGTGGCTCAGCAGAACGACCAGTTAATGACAAGCAAGAGAAAAGAAAACTCTTCAGATCCTGTTCCTCTTTCTTTCTTTTCCCACCTCTTGTCTCCTTTGAGAGTTTAAACTCCTTGGGAGACAGGGGTGGTGCACCGCTGGGAACAGCTCCAAGGCCAGCATTTGTTATTTGCCTGCGGAGAACTGTTGATCCCCAGCCTATTGTGGTGGCCTGCATATCTTTAGGTGACAAATGCCCCTGCCTCAAGGATACTTCTCCATAAGGTAGGATACTCCAGAGTTCACTTTGCAGGAGCTCTTGGAGCTATTCTGCCAAATCCAATGTTTGAAATGGACCAGCGTTCTGTCTGACATGGTAGTCCTCATGCTGTAAACACTTTGAATGCACAAGTCCTACATTGTCCTTTCCGGTGACACATCATGACAGACGCAGGACATGAGAGCTGTTGTGAAAACTGAGCCAAAGTTAGCTGTGCCCTGCAAGCCACCCCAGATCCTCTACCTTTTAAATATCCAGTCTTTGTCCATCTCCTCCCCCCTTTTGAAAGCATTTTTGGCAGAGTGTTTTTTTTTAAGAACCCTCTAATTTCTTGTTCGGTTTTTCTCCCTCTCCTGAGCCCTTTGAAAGTGGCTTTACGCTGTCACTGACACCAAACTGACACTTTGCGTTTCCCCACTTCTTATCCCTTTATGGCAACAGATGTTGAAATTTTGTATCCCTTTTATCTGTCCCTCTTTGCCCTCTTCCTGTAATTAGGTTTCCCTTGTTAGCAGTACAAAGTAGCCCGGTTTGCTGCCTGGCCTTTTGAGCCATTGTGTCTGAGCACATTTTTTTCCTCCTCTTTCGGAAGAGTTCCTTCCCCCTTAAGTAATAGGCAGGGTGTGGGCCAAAGCTGTGGCTTTTTCTTGTTTCTTTGTTCTCCATTTATCTCTGCCACCTTTTTCAAAGGGATGGGGAAAAAAAAATAGAGAGTGCATGGAAGGGGAAGATACAGAGTTGCATTTCTTGACCGTCAGGCCCCCCTGCTCTTCAGGTGTTCAAGGCAGGTGCCTTTGATGTCTGCGAGTTGTGGGGAGGTAGGAGGTAGAGGATTCATGAGAGTGGCTTGGGAGTGGAGGAGAAGGGAGATTCAGGTGTGTGGCTGGTGCCCTCAGCAGAGGGGTGGGGAGGAGTCTTTCGGGGTAGCCAGGCAGCTGCTGAGCAGGTTAGTAATCCGTATTTGCCTCTAGTGCTACTGCATTGTGCTCTTTCTCTCCAAGAGCCAGCAGGAGCGTTACCATCATAAGCAGCTGGCTGAAGCTTGCTAACTTGCTGCTGCTTGATCTCTGGTATGTGCTTCCACGGGACCCTTGCTAGACTACATGTGCAGTGGGGTGGGCAAGAATTAGTTGCTGCCTTTAGCATTTCAGTGTATGTTGATCTGCATCCACTTTGGCGTCTCTTTAGAGCCATTGAGTGAGTAAACGTGAGCAATTGTCAACAGAGGACAGCTTTAAAACGTAGCCTACATGTGTTGTTCTTAAACAGCAAGTGTATTGACAGTTGCAGTATATAGCACTGACCACCCTGGTTAGCTGATCAGTAGTGATGCTTTCCTGTTTAAGTCCAGTCCTTCTTGGCTTTGCATCGTGTCATGCTCAGGTTTTTTTAGGTGTCAAAGTAGATAAATGAAATGAGAGCCTGCAGGTCTAGTTCTTGGTTATGAAGCTTGCTAAATGTTTTCAACAAAAGCTTTTAATGTAGAAGCTTGGCCCAAGATACACAAGTGGATTCTAGAGTTGTGTTCTAAAACAAGTTTTGAAGAAGATCATTCTCTCCACAGCTTTGAACTCCAAGGTTTAAAAAAGTT